ACCACTGGAATACTGGAGAAAGAGGCTAAAATTTTAGACTAAAGAAGGCTTTATGGTGATGCGTAGGAGCAGGATTAACTAAATTTGTGAATAATCTTTGGTGTTTTCCAAGTAAGATGTACTTCATTTTAAACTAAAATATTAAAAGGTACTACGTCAAACATAAACGTGGTATGAACAACCTTAACAAAATGAGTCTTTAGAAGCTGCTAGGTCTTCTATTATTGTTTTATGAAATTTCTACACTGCTGATGACATTTCAGATGAATTGCTGGAAAAGGGCAGCTCTGAGCTCCAGAACAGTCATAGGAGCAAGTTGTCTGGCTGGACAATTGTAGGAACAGGTTGTCTGGCTCTAACTGTTCTCTCTCTCTCTCTCTATCTAGCAAGTTCCACACATTCTCAATCAGATTTAGGTCTGGTGACTTAGCAGTCCAGTTCAGTACGAACCCTGCCTTGCAGAGGGCGGTAAATTGAACATATTCTTCCTTAGGCATCTCCCCAAGTCCGCAGGATACGTACTAACCAGCTTTTTGGTGACATTGCAAAGTTCTTCTGTAAGCATGAGCTCTAAGTTTCGTAGAAACCCAAATTTGCAACTAACGTTTTCATTTTCTCTTGTCTAGTACAAGTGACCGTTTGTCAGTTATTGTTAATAAATTCTGAACTTTATATTGAGTAGAGGGTTAAATATCACCACCTTCATCATCCCCTTCCTACCATCGCGTATTTCTCTTCATTTTCCTTGACCTTTCCACCTTATATCTCTTGCATCCTGACAGTTGTTTATCCTTTTCCCCATATTCGGGAAATGAAGCTTGCAATTCCTGCGCGAATGTCTTGAGAGATTTTACCAGACGAGACGCTGTGTTGACATCCCGTTCTGTAATGAACGACTTCTCTTGTGAAACGTTACATAATTCCATCATTATACCTCTTTCTATTTGTTTAAATTGTAGCATGAGGCTTTTTAACTCTAAGCGCTTGAGACCTTTCAGAGTCATCGTCTATAATGGAAGCGAGGAATTGCGTTATGGCTTTGTACGATTGTACCCCCATTTTTAAAACTCGCATTTCGCCTGAATGGGCACTCCATCTTGTGTCTGATAACCACTTTATTGTCTGGAACCCTAGTTTTTCAAGCACATCGTGTCGTCTCTTCCACAGGTGGGCTGAATCTGAAAACAAAACAAAACATAAATCTTCTGCACAATGACAAAGAATAAACATGATTCAGAACAGCAGTCCACGGTGCATTGTCCAACCAAATTGAGCGAATGTGCACAGCATGGAAAATAGTCTGCATGGAATTTTATTCTATGATTAAGATTTGCATGCCAATATATTTGCCGCTCAAATTGAATGCATTGTCGTAAGACTGTCTACGGGAATCTTGAGTCGTTATATCATACTTTTTACGAAATTAGTGAAAACCCTAGCAAGTACTGCTCCCATGTGATTGCTTATCGGTAAGAACGTGGCAAATCTCTAGAACGGATGTAAAGATTATTGTCAGTTGATCCGTGTAGGATATGTCTGGAGTAGAATCAATATACACTGGTAATGCTTGGAGACGGATTGAATGGGTAATGAAGAAAACTTTAATACAACGTTTCGACAAGGTTTTGTCATCATCAGGTACAAGTAGTTTACACTGGCACAGATATATATATGCAGTATGGAACAAAGAGGTCACATGACCGGACATTATTGCACGACTTAGACCCCAGGGTGTTGGTTTAGAGTAGGGTTGTTTTGTTTAATTAAGATGGATTCCTTAATTTTTCGTTTGTTTATGTTTGGTTCTTTGTTTAAAATACTGTGTTTTTAATAGATATACTATGGTTTTTTTGAGTTGCAATGCTGGAAAACATGGGATGTTTTTTTATTGTTTTGTGAATCTGGTTTCCAATTTTCTTCCTGTTTCTCCAATGTAGAATTCTGGGCAGTTATTGCATGTTATTTTATAAATGACATTGGTATTGTGTGATTCTAAATAATTTTTGTTTAGTAACGATTTTAATTTTGGGCCGGGTTTTTGAGAGAATTTGACGTTGACAGGAATATTGTGTTTAATGGCTAGTTTGGTCCAAGTGTGGATAATTCTTGAGCTGGTTTGAGGGACAAAAGGTAAACTGCAGTGTAATGTTTATGTTTTTGGGTTTGTTAGTATCAATTTTGTTCGTGAGTTGAGTTTTGTTGTGGTGAATGTTGGACAGTTTTTCAACTATAGCTGGTGGAAATTTGTTGGTGTGAATGAAGAAATGCTTTATGTGGTTGATTTCTTCATCTATGTAGTCCAATGAACAGAGTCTTGTGGCTGTGTTTATGAGGTTTTTCAGTGTATTGATTTTTTGTGTGGTGTCATAAGCGGAATTCCAGGGGATGTAGAGGCCGGTGTATGTGTTCTTACGGTGAATTTTGGTTTTAAACTGTGTGTCTGATCTAATAATGTTGAGGTTAAGAAAATATAACTGTTTATTGTTTTTCATGTTCTATGGTAAATTTGATGTTGGGATGCATGGAGTTTATGTGTTAAAAGAAAGTTAGTGTGTGTTCTGTAGAAGTGAAACCAGCAAAAGTGTTGTCGACATATCTGTACTAGTATAGTGGGGGATGATGCGCAGAATGTATGGCTTGTATTTCGATCTGGGTCTTGAATATATATTGGTAAGAATGGGTGAAACAGGATTGCCCATACTTAAACCATCTATTTGAAGAAAATGTTCATTGTTGAAAATAACGTTGGTTTTAGTTGTTGTAACTTTTAAGAGAGAAGCAAAAAGTGTGCTGGGGATGTGGATTAACTTGTTGGGGTCATTAATGTAGAGGTCAAGTGTGATATTGCAAGCTTCATTGGCGGGGACTTTTTACATCATACCCTCCCCCCTCACACACAAACACACAGTATTTTAGAAAATTTGAGATGTTGTGTGCTCTTTATCTCACGACAAGCTCGAAGTCAGGGAACTTATAGGCATCATATATCATTGTGTTATTCTAAAACTCTTTCATCAACTGGCCAGCTTCATTTAAAGATGTACATCTACTTTTCTTTAGCCTAGTTCGTATATCCTCATTCACTATAGTATCCATAAATTGATCACCACCAACAAATCCATCATTTCATGTGGAGCATCCAGGTAAGAAGCTGGGCATGGCTTTTCATATCTTCCTCTGTTCCTAGCTTTGCTTTTCAAACTTCTTTTTTTATTAGGGAAATACCACATCTGTTTATAAGGTAGCCACCAATGCTGGATAGTTA